CACGCGCATCGCGCACTTCGCAAAATAATCGACCTGTCGCAATTTATGAAAACGCGGTCTTTGCAGCCACAAATTATTCAGTTAAAACGATTGGATTAAATAAATATAATAGAGCACTAATATTGGATAAAATTGAAAACACCTTGTGTATCGGACCAGATTCGGAAAATTGCCTCATGGCGTATTTTTCCGTGGTTGTCTGTAGTTGTTTTCAGACCAATGTCGACACCAACGGGTGACATGTGCAGCCAAATATGATGTTTATCCAATCACTTAACGTTATTAATAATTAGATTCGCACATCAACCATTAGTTAGAGGGTCATAAATCGTCATATTAGACTTAGGCTTTTTTTTATTCAAGTGACCCGATTTCCATGACGACCGCAAAGTTAATCACCCTATCGGTGATCTTGGTGCTAAGGTTCCAAGGCAACTGGTACACATGTTGACGTCCCTGACCTATCTGTTCTGTCCCTTTACAGGCCAGCCTTTTGCCAGGCTTTCTTTATACTGTTCTTACTACTGTAGCTGCATCCCGGGCTGCTCTACTAGCCGTTTGCGCATTTCCGGGGCCGGCATGCGCTGAAGTTTGAGAAAACGCGAGCGTAAGAATAACCCTTCCTTGGTCACCTACGCTACACTTCGACCGTCGCTTGTTGTCGCATGTATGCCTAATAGTAGCCTCCAGCTTTAACCACGCATGTACTGCAGTACGTGACTTGATGCCGTGAACCCTGCTGCCTCTGTGACGCTAATGCCAGCGTTAATATCGTCTGGTACGTAAATTTAAAAGCATTAGATTATGCGTTTCAGCGATCATGAATCGTAATCACGATAGCATCGTCCATAACGGACACCTCATTGTCCTCCAACTCGCTACCCAATAAGCTGGCTTCGCCCACACGCCAACCGCGTAAGCGAGCTGTCGTTTCGTCCTCCCCATCTGCATCTCACGTCTAATTATGAGTAGCTTTGAAACTCTGAACGTTGCATCTTTTCATAGGCAGAAAATATTGTATATGAGATTTAGAGCCCTTGCGCGACGAGTAATCGTGCAGAGTATTTGGCTCTAATGGCACACCGAAAATTCAACTTGGTGGACCCTAACAAAGAGAAGATGCTCTACATCTACTCAGACGCTGAGTTACTAGTGAATTCCATGAACGACTGGACTATGAACTGGTTGCCCAACGGTTGGATCACCACTTCTGTCCCTCCAGTGAAAAATGCTGATCTTCTGAAGTTGTTGCTTCAGTCTTGGGGCAACAAACGTTTTGAGCATGTAAACGCGCAGACTGAGGAGCTCAACTGGAAGGCGTGCTGGAACCAGCTAGCAGGCTATCCAGCAAGAAATGCCGCCTTGATGGCATTTCACAACCACCCATAGCCCAATTTCAGCACGGCTTCTCACTACGATCTGCTTCATTTGTGAAACTTGCGTGTTACTATTCGTTCGTTATCAAAAATACTACCATTACAGAAGCGCTTTGTTAATGAAAGCTACTTCCTCTGGAAGGAAATGATTGAAAGAATGCAATATGAAAGTGATGGAGTTTTATTTTGTGTACAAAGATGATGTGTTGAGTATTATCTATTTGTACAGGTATTTATTGACACTTGACACTAGAACAAGAATGGCCTACCTGCCTTTTCGAGGATGGCAAGGGCACTTGTATAG